CTCAACAAAGAATTGGTGGTGGAAAGGGCCATCAAGTCACAGCCAAGAGGGGTTTTCAAGAGATGCTTAGAGGTGGTTTTGCCATTGCCGACCGACCCTGGACTGCTTGGTGGTCTCCCATCCAAATAATAAACAGGGCCAACCCTGTTTACTTTCAGAGATCTGGCCAGATTGGACTACCTGGGCCACCCGGGTCACAGCCAGCAAGTCAAATTCATTGTCAGAAGATGTAGTGCCAGAAGGCTTTAAAGGGAGATGCGGCAGCTTTATGGAGAAGAGGTCCATCAAAAGCTATTAACTGTGATGGCTTAAGGGAACTTTCACTTCAAAGTTCTTAATAGCAGTTCCTGGAAGCAAACAGGAGAAAACTTTGGCCTCTGTGCCCTGTTCCTTGGCCTTCCAAGGCAACTGTTTGGTCAGTATGTGAAACAGGATCTGGACCAGGCCCCTAGCTACAGTGGGGCATTTCGGGGCCTGGCCCCCTGACTTCCTGCCAACGTCCCCTGACTTTCATGCAGCCCCCAGGCCCACCAACTCTGGGCCACCTGGAGGACTCCCCACCGCCACCCCTTCCCCAAGCGCACCTTGCTTCCCCACATAGGCAAGCAAAATGTGAATGCTGCAAAAGTGAGTGTTTAATTTTTTATTTTGTGACGTCAGTGCCCCCTGGTTTATTTAAAGCCCGCCCCCCAATTACAGAATCCTGATTACGGCCCTGATCTGGACTAGGCAGACCACTGCTTGATTCCGGTGCAACTGATTACTGCATTGGTAGCACGATTCATATTTGTTAGGGAATAAGTCCCATTGAAGGAGCTGTGGTGGCAAAGTTGTGAGCGAGCGATTTGGCTGCTGCATAAATCAGTTTGCTTTGGAGCCATCCTTCCTGAGCTAAAACAAAAATCTGTGAGCAGGAGGCTAAAAATCTGTGAGCTAGCTCACACCAACTCAGTTTAGAGGGAACTATGGACCACAAACATTTTAAAACTGATTATGAAAGAGCTGCTCATCCCCGCGGAGCGTCCGAAGTATGGGGCGGGGCTGCATAGCTGGGGGAGGAACTAAGAGATGCAAAGGAGGAGGAGCTTCAGGCAGCACCGCCGCAGCAAGTCCGAGGCTATACAAGACATAATGCAGAATACGAGGCAGCAGCCTCTGGCGAAGCAACGTGGGGTTGGTTGGCTATTCCCCTCGAGGCGTCGAGCTGGATCTCTTGCTGGACCGGCAGCAAGAAGAAGGTGGCGCGGAGACTTCGCCGGGGATCAATCGTCGGCAGGTAAGGGAGGCCAGCAGTCACTTGCATTCCCAAAGGTCTTTGGTGAAGAGGCAGCAGGACCCCCCCCACACACACACACACACCCCTCTCGCGCCCGGCTTTTCTGCAGCATCCCGGGGTTTTGTTTGCCGGCTCGTGAGCTGAAGACAGGAAACTTCTTCGAGATCAGAGGAGCAGGTCTGCGATTCGCTGCGCCTGGAGAAGGCTGGGCTGCTTTTAAAAGCGCGAATGCGGACAGAGGGTCGCCGTCGCTGCTGGTTTTGCCTTGGCTTGAGTTCATCAGGGGATCCACAGTAGGTAAAAACGAGAACAGCGAGCTGGGCAGAAGTGCTCCGATTGAGTTCACTGCGTGGATTGTCAGGTGCCAGGTTTGCTCTATGGGCTGGCTGTTTTCATTTCGAAAATCAATTTGAGGTGGTACCTTTCCTTCCATCATTTTCTTGTTTGATGAGCCACCATAAAATAATCTAAATAAAACAGAAGTGACTGTCATTTATAAAACAACATTTTTTAAAAAAACCCAAGGATTAATACAATTATTCGCCAAATCTGGGTTAGTTTGAGAGACACAAACTTTTGGATTTCAGAAGACAATTTATGCAAAACAAACAGTACTAATTCACACTTTACATTTTAAATTGGATACCAAAAGTATACATGTTTGAATAGCAAGACATAAAATGGGACAGAGAGGACAGCTTTGAATTTCTGTAAGCATGATGTCGCGGAACAAGTTTCAAAGGCTCACTCTTTGATAGATAATACATTCAGGTCTGTTGGTCTGAAACAGTAGAACAAAGTTTGAGTCCAGTGGAACCTTTTAAGACCAACAAAGTTTTATTCAAGGTATGAGCTTTTGTGTGCACTTACACTTCTTCAGATACATTGAAATGGCAGTTATCAGTCCATGCACATAGGTACAGGGTGAACAGCAAATTAGTATACAACTTAGCAGATGTGAGAACCAAACAGGAATAACAAGCTAAATTTATGTGGTCACCAGGAAACCTCCTCAGGAAACAATCCATATACAAAAGAACCTCCTCAGGAAAGCTTCTCTATTAGCATGTTCAGAGCCTGGGGAACTCCTACAAGATAATGGCTCAGCCCTACTCCGCCTTCCTGAGTAGATATAAATTACCTGCCTATCATTTTTCTTCTCGCCTTGACACAGAGAGTACTCTATCTTTCTGTGTTATACCTCTGAGGATGCCAGTCACAGCTACTGGTGAAACGACAGGTCCTACAATGCCAAGACCATGGCCATACAACCCAGAAAATCTACAGCAGCTAATCATAGAATCATAGAATGTTGGAAGGGACCTTACAGGTCATCTAGTCCAACCCCCTGCACTCTGCAGGAGTATACTGAAAGATAGCCCTACATACATACAACATACCCGAAAGATGGTCATCCAGCCTCCGCTTGAAAACGTCCAGCGAAGGAGCATCCACCACCTCCTGAGGCAGACTGTTCCACTACTCAACCACTCTTACACCACCATTTGTTTGGATTTAATTCCGGGGGAAACACAGTGAAGTAGATAAATATGACAGAATTGGAGACTGATGTGTAAATGTATTCTTAACTGTGGAATGCTAAGAGATGGATGGAGCTTAATAACATGATCTCAGTTAATTACTCTTGGCACCCCACAATTAAGAAATAAATAAATAAGAAGGATACATTTACACATCAGTCTCCAATTTTAACACATTTATTTGCTTCACTGTGTTTCCCCTGGAATTAAATCCAAACAAATGGTGACCATATAAACTTAGCTTATTATTCTTGTTTGGTTCTAGCATCTGTTAAAACATCTTTATTATGTTGTATTCTAATTTGCTGTTCACCCTCTACCTATGTGTATGGACTGATAACTTCTATTTCAATATATCTGAGGAAGTGTGTTTGCACACAAAAGGTCATACCTTGAATAAAACTTTGTTCCTCTTAAAGGTGCCACTGAACTCAAATTGTCCTCTTGGATAGAAGGTTATGAAGAGGGAAATCGATGCTGTATTTTGAGAGAATTGTGGATGAACAGCTGTGTTACTCTGCAGCAGCATTTTAAAGACTAACAGAATTTATTCCTGCATTTATCAGATACATTGGGATCCATCCATCTTTGCTGTGATTACTACTTCACTGGATAGTCAACTCAGTCACATGTTTTTAGGGTTTTTTCTTTTACATACGCACAGAGTACACATAGGGGTTTATTCTTTTGGGTACGCACAGAGTACACGTAGGCTTGTTTATTTATTTCTTTATAACACTAGTCATTGTGTAGGGCTGGACCTACACTCTGAAACTTGATGAGGTGAAAGATTGCCTTTTGGTAACCTCGTGGTCACCATATTGGTTTAAACAGTTGAATTTCTCCACAATAAACAGAGCAGCATGTTTAGAAATAAAGCACTGGGTATTACTTACTTGAAAGCAAGCTTCTTTTTGTAAATTGACTCCCCTTTTCTCTAGAATGTTAGTTATAAAAGATGCTTTACAATCTCTTGTTTGGTCCCATTCTTGTCCTATATGGTAGGTCATCTAGTTCATTTGCATTTTGCAAGTTGGGGGGACAGGCTGGTTTGCACAACACTATCCTGACTGAGCCAGAATTTTACCCTACCTGGTCAGATAGTTTAGGGGAGGGGCTGTGTCCAGTGAACCAGCTCCGCGGGGATGCAGAAGGTCCCAGGTTCAGTCCCTGACATCTCCAGCAAAAAAGATCAGGTAGTACATGATGTTAAAGGCCTCATCCTGAGACCCTGGAGATTATTAGTAGCACTTTCCCTCGTACTAAGAGTAGGGGTTCTTTTTATTGACTTACTGTGAAGCTTTTAAAGGGCAATTCCACCATAAAGGATATGGTGGAAAGTGCCATATCCTTCTAAGCCCATTGAACATAGAGGGGTATAAGTCTTCTTAGGATGGCTCTGCAAATACTTTAATTTAAAGGAAAATGTAAAGGCAGTACTGGTTCCGAGCCCTGATGCTATTTTCAAAAAGGGCTCTCATGCCTTTCCTAATAGACAGGATCTGATCATCCCTTAACTTGCAATTCACAATGTGCTTGTTGGAAACTAGCTACCTGCATTTGCCCTGACCTGAATGGCCCAAGCTAGCCTGATCTTGGAAGCTAAGCAGTGTCAGCCCTGCTTAGGATTTGGACAGGAGACCACCAAGGAAGTCCAGGGTTGCTACCCAGAGGCAGGCAATGGAAAACCACTCTGAACATCTCTTGCCTTGAGAACCCTACATGGTCACCGTAAGTCGGCTGTGACTTGAGGGCATTTCCCCCCACTGGCACAAGTTGCATTTCAGTCAATAACACTGTTCTTGGACTATTTTTTTAAAAAACGCATTATTAATTTTGCAGTCCAAAAGTTGCAGAGTGCAGTGTCAGGCCACTTATGCCTGGAGCAAACTCCTCCCCACAGACCAGATGAAACAACCCGGAGCAGGAAAAAAGGGAACTGTTGCTTTCTTTTGCTGGCATTCAGGGGAAGGTCACATTTAATTCAAGAGCTGTATTGGAAGGTGACTTAATTCTCTCTCTCCTCTGTGCTTATAGGCTGAAATATTAATTTCCCTACTGCCTTTGAAAAAGTTAATCTGAAACAGAGAGGATTGCCTTTAAATGTATTTCTTTTGTTTTTTGCATATTTTCGTGTGTGTTCTTTTTGGCTACAGTGACTCAGAGTGAAGGGGACAATTTACACCATGTCAGAATTCTGGTTAATTTCGGCACCTGGGGATAAAGCAAATATGACGGCCTGGGAAAGAATGAACACTGTGACTCTCAAAGCCAACCTGTCCAGCAACAGCAAGTTCATCATCCCTGACCTCAAGGTAAAGGTGGTGGTGGGGGGAGGATTTGGCAGGAGAAGGAAGAAATCAGAATTTCAGCAACATGGAAGCAGGAGGGAAGGAGTAGGAACGTCTTTCTTTCTTTCTTTCTTTCTTTCTTTCTTTCTTTCTTTCTTTCTTTCTTTCTTTCTTTCTTTCTTTCTTTCATAGATATGCATAGGAATACTAAAATAATTGTACGTTGTCAGTGAAGATAGGGTTGACAAATATCTTTATTTTGTCCGTGTTCTTCTAGATATGTCTTTATATCAAGGATGGAAGCAATAACTCCATTTTGCGTAATTAATAAATAGGTTAATTACCATCAGACACAAATGGATTTTAGCTGGATTTCCCTTCTCCCTTTATCAATGAAGATCTATTGTAATTGAACTGAATAATCAAAGTCAGCCTGTGCTTGTCAAAATGTTGAAACTGGGGGGGTCCCCCCCCATAATGGAAGCTAATAACAAATTTGGGGAGGGTTGAGTCTGTTGGGGAAATGGGCGAGTGTGAGTTAGCCTCCTTTCAGCAGTATCACAACTTTCATCTAATCTTACCACCCCCCTTTCTGGCTCCTCTTTGGTATTAAAGAGAATTTTGAGATCTCCAACCAGCCCTGCTTTGAATTCAATGGGACCTGCTCCCAAGTAAATGGTCGTAAGATTGCAGCTGCAACATTCACTTGGAAATAAGCCTCACTGAATTTAGCAGAAATATGTGCAGGATTTGACTGCAGACAAAACTTCAGTCAGATTACACCTCTGCTTTCCAGAATTTGAGCTTCTAGTGAAATGTTGAGCAGAGCTGTTCATTCTGCTTTAAAAGGATACTGGTGAAAATGTGTTCATTTTCTTTGTGAGAGTATTCTAACTCTTAGTCAGCATCAGGTGTGACCTTGCTATATAGATCTTGTTCAGGCTTTTCTGTCAATACCCTCTTTCCTTTTTTTGTATGAGCCTGCACTGATGTCCATCTTACAAAACCGGTGACATTATAGCTGTAGGCATTTAGGAGAGTGGCTGTGGCTCAGTGGTAGAACATCTGCTTGGCATGCAGAAGGTCCCAGGTTCAGTTCCCCGGCACCTCCAGTTAAAAGGGCTGGGTAGCAGGTGATTAGAAAGGCTATTGTGACCTTCTGCCACCTTGATGGGCCAAGATCCAATTTAGTATAAGGCAGCTTCATGTGGTCATATGGCAGAAAACTATGATACCATAATCATGAGACTGTGATTAAGGTGCTGCTTCATACAAAAGGAGAAGCTGGTTTTGAGAAAGAACAGACAGGAGTAACTTAATTGGCATGTCTGCTTTCCAGACACTTTTGTGGTAGAAGTGAGAAGATCATTCATTCTTGGGATGAAGTATTCATGTTTCCTCCCTGCTGAAGCTGGGCAGCAAAGCCTGCACATACTTTAGCAGTTCAGGATTTCATTTTCAGTGTTTTACATTATGGATTACAGAGGGACCCAAAATAGGAAGAAGGTGGCACTGGTATATTATCACGGAACAGTCTTATGTTACTCGGAAAAAGTTACCAGCCTATTTCAACTGTTCTCCTGCAGAACAATGTTCCCTCTAAGCTGTGGAGTCTTGTGAGCAAAAATTCTACTTTGTGAGCTACTGGCATTAAAGTTGTGAGCAAGCGATTTGGCTGCTGGATAAACTAGTTTGCTCTGAAGCCATCCTTCCTGAGCCAATACAAAAATGTGTGAGCCAGAGGCTAAAAAACTGTGAGCTAGCTCACACTAACTCAGCTCAGAGGAAACACTGCTGCAGAGTGGACTAGATGGCCTGCAAGGTCCCTTCCAACTCTAACATTCTATGATTCTATGATCTAAGAGGTTTTACAGCCATTTCCTATTGAGGAAGAAGTTTCCCAGACTTACCATTCATGTGCTTACAAATTTGATAACTTAGATATTTGCCAAATAAAGATAGGCATGCAGGTAGCCTGTTTATGCTTTTGCATTTCCTTCTGCAGGTAGGAACCCTGGATGCTCTTGTTGGCCTCTCAGATGAGTTGGGGAAACTTGATACCTTTGCTGAAAGGTAAAATAGACCATATTTACTACATACAGACAGCAACTGGGTGCTGTTTTTATAGCACACAGTGTTCCTGGGTTGACCTCACTCTGACTTGTTTAGCCAGAGTTGGCGGGTTTGATGTTATTTTACTCAAAGGAGGGCTACTCTAACTATGCCCTAAAACCTGCATTTTCCATTCTGACAGGGCAATCCTAAACAGAACTACTTCCTTCTTAATCCATTGGATTCAATGGACCTAGAAGGGTGTTATTCTGCACTGGATTGCACCGCAAGCCAATAAGAATTCTGGGATGCTCCTAGATCAATGCAGATGGTGGGATTAAATGAGCAAATCTGTGGAACAGAATGTGGAACATGGTATCATTCCTACTACATTTTCTGTTGTATGCTATAGTCCTAAACTGGGAGGCTGCTATACAAAGAGCCCCGAGGGGAAAAATAGAATTGCTCAGGACAACAAAAACAAGACAGTGACTACAAGAAGAATCCTTATACTAAGTGCTTTCTAGTCTGTCCTACACTATTTAGATGATTGTCCTTCAACACCATATCACCCGTGACCTTCAAGCTTTATATATTTGAAGGACCTCCTCCACTGAGCCCAACCGATATCCTTGTGGCTTTCATGGCTCCATCCCCATTGTCATCTGAGAAGGAACTGAGCGGGCCCATAGCCACAGGGGACATTTGGGGGCAATGCCCCCCACAGATAAGCGCTGCCCCCGCAGACCAAATTTTTTTTTTTTTTTTTAATGTAAGATACACTTGGGGGTTCCAAAATGACCCTGGGCACAGTCAGGAAAGCTTCAGCCTCATTTTCTTTTTTCCTGGGCTGAAAAATAAATAGGTTTAAAAAAAATGCAAATAAAATTGTAAAATGCAAAAGAGAGAGTTGGAGATCCCCCTGCCGTCTTATACAGAAAAGCAGCCTGGAATTGATTCTCTCCAATCGAGAGGACTAGAGGAGGACTAGAGGTCGCAGCAGAGCCAGAACTGCTGCTTCTGCTGTTACATGAAGAGCAGCAGGTGTGGCCAGGACACCCCTCCCCCCGGTTTCTCATGCCCCACCAAACAAACTTTTCTGTCTACTCCCCTGGAACTGAGGGTACGAGATGAATAGGAAGCTGCCTTCTTCCTCATTCCATGTGTATCCACCTTCTCCCTTACCTCCATGTTGTGTCATTGCCTTTGCATGCCCTCTTATGGCTTTAGGGATAACCAAAGGAGAGCAGGCAATCCTTTTGCCCTGCCCCAGCCCTCACCAGTGAGGAAGAAGTGGAGAAAGAAACACCCAAGTAGGAAGCAGAGGAGAAGATAGGTATTATTTACCACTGGGGGCGGCGGCTGTGTTGATGGGGTCTGCTGATGGGCCACAGAGAGGGGGGGTTGGGGCTTCCTATACTGCCTCCTCTAAGTGGATGTACAGAAAAATATTTGCCTGATGAAGGTCCTAATGATAGGGCAGCTGAGCATTTGCCAAACTCCAGGAGGGCCCTGGAATTCTCCCGGAATTACCTTTGATCTCCATACTACTGAGAACTCTGTGGCATCACACCCCTGCTGCTGAGCAGCCCTCCCAAGTCTCCACCCCCAAATCCCCAGGTATTTCCCAACCCAGAGTTGGTAACCTTAGACAGCCATCAATGAGCCAACTCTTTCAGCATAACCATATTGACTGATATATGGTTGGAAAATGTTATCATGAGACTCCAGCTGATGAACAGTTTACCAAGACAAATTTGCCAGGCTGGCCCTCTTAGAGATGTAGCCAAGCCCAGGCTGCTTCCAGCTTTGGAGGCCCTCAGTCATAACAAAAATGTTAAACATGATGACATATGACAGCAAAATAAGATACCAAAAATATGACAAAATACCAGTTAACAAAAAAACAAACAAAAAAAACCCCTACTCCACAACAGATATTTTACCAAATAACCTCTTATTTATTTAAATTTGTAGACCTAAACTGAGAGTGTGTCACATTTTGGTCTGATAGGGAGGTGTATAAGAAGTAAGAATAAAGTGCAAAAGTGATCAAATGCCAAAAAACTTGCCACATTTTTGGGGCCAACTGTGAAACAGTAACACACTAATGCTCCACATTTGTTTAGTAACACACTAATGCTCCACATTTGTTTATTTATATTGCCTAAGTAATTTTTACAAAAGCCTAGTGAGGTAACCCAATTTTATTATCTCCATATTTCAAATTGGAGTAGTGAGTGGGGAGGAGAAATAAGGCAATAGTGGCTTGCTTAAGGCTCTTTATGTACTTCTTGACACTCAGTCTTTTTCTGGGGCCTAAAGTGGCTTCTTTCTTCCATGTTTTTAATCCTCACAGGTAATTTAGGCTGTGTGTCACTGGCCCAAGCTTACCCAGCAAGCATCCATGGCAGAGTGGGGATTGGAACTGGAGTCTCTGAGGTCCTAGTCTTAGATTGTAGCCATTTACACCACTGGGATTCTATATGGGATTTACATGGTAGTAACCCCATGTTTACTTATTTCTCAGTATACGTGTAGGAGCAGGCTGTATATCACTAGGGTGAGATATGAACTAGGGATATATCAGTTCACATTTTTACCCACCATGCTGTACTAGTTCTCTCAAGGCCAACCAAATGTTGGCATTAAACAGTGTATTTTGTACACTGCTGAAGGAGCAGTGGATTTTCAAAAGAGACCTCTGGTTTCAAGGGTTAATGTGACAGATACCCAAGCCCACCTAGAAGGTGATTGGTAAGAAGCTAGACAAAGGAAGTAGACATTTACATTTCTGCTCCACTGAAATATGCTGGTGGTGGAACTATTATTAGATAAACAAATGTGAGAAGCCTGGTAAACCTAGCTAGTCAGCAGAAACCTGTCAGCACTGCTTCTGGCCAGGACAGCAGAGCAGGGGCAAGTGTTTACAGGGTCTATTGTTTCCATGTACTTTTATTACTTATTTACACAGGGAGAGAGAGTATTTTTCCATGTCACAATAAGGCAGCATTTGGCACTCTGATGTTTCCTGCCTCCTCATTCTTGATTCGTTCCCTTATTAAATAGCATGCTTGCTTGCTTGCTTTCTCTTTCTCTCTTTCTCTTTCACTCATTTAAAAATTACTGGCAAAGGGGTACAGAAGGAACTTAAATAGAAAGGCTACGGGATACCTATTGCCAGTGTGGGTTAATTATTAAGAGGATTGGATTAGGACCAAGTCCCCACTCGACCACAAAGATCCCTAGGTGGCCTTGGGTTGGTTACCCCCTCTCTCTCTCAGCCTAACCTAACTTGCAGGGCTAATGTGAGGATCGAATGAAGAAGGGAGGGAGCAATGCATGCTTCACTGAACTCATTGGGGGAAGGACGAGATTTGCTAGATGGATCGCTTTAGAAGCACTGCAGAATTAAACCTTATTATTTTGTCAATCAGAGGGCACACGCCCAGATGGGTTGGGATTTGCCAGACGACTTATTTGCCCATTAGTTTAGCATCCTGCCCTTTCCTTTTCGGGGGGCGGGGGGTTTAGGCTTGCCAAGTCCCCCCGGGGGCGGGAAAACCCCCGCCCCAGAGGCCCATTCCCCGCTGCCAGCGGATCGGGCCCCGGGGAAAACTCCACCCCGACATGCACATCACCCAGAAGTGATGCGGGCACACCGGGCACGCTGGGGGCGGGGCCACGGTCATCCAAGGGAAAACTCTATGGTTTTCCCTCGGATGGTCGTGGCCCCGCCCCCAGCGTGCCCGGCGTGCCTGCGTCACTTCCGGGTGACGTGGATGTGGCGCGCGCACACACACTCCAGCCATCAGCCGGGAGGCTCCCGCTGGCGGCTGCATTCACACTTGGCAACCCTAGGGGGGTTTCAAGAAGCCTAGGCTGATAGAAATTATCTGGCCTGAGATGGCGGAGGAGATATTTGAACCAGGGCATCAGTGGATAAGATGTTGAACTGCAGACCGGAAGGTCGGTAGTTCAGCAGTTCGAGACCCAAGTGCCACATGACGGAGTGAGCTCCCATCTCTGGTCCCAGCTCCTGCCAACCTAGCAGTTCGAATGCAATAAATTGCAAGTAGACAAATAGGTACCGCTTCGGTGGGAAGGTAACAATATTCCATGCACCTTGGCGTCTAGTCATGCCGGCCACATGACCACGGAAAACGTCTTCAGACAGCACTGGCTCTTCAGCTTGGAAACGGAGATGAGCACCGCATCCCTAGAGTCGGATTCGACTGGCTTTCGAGCAAGGGAAACCTTTACCTTTACCTGTCTCCACTCTCTACCCAATATATTCCATCACCAAGCAACAGAACCTGCCTTGTGGGTATATAAACACTTTTATATAGTATACCTGTGGGTATATAAACACCTTAAGTAAATAAAATAAATTTTGATAAACCAAGGATAAGGCTATATTGATAATGGCCAGAATCACTAGGGCGAAGGATACCTTTCTTGGTGGTATCTCTTAATACTGTGGCTTTTAAGAAGTTTCATCACGTTCATCTTCCTACATCCTAGACAGTTTATGAACTACAGACTAGGCTCTGATCAAGCCAACCAGGCAACTGCTTGGGGAGGCAGAGTGATGCAGCAAAAAGCTGGCCTCTCTCCTAGCTATCCGTGGTGCATGGGGTGATGGGTACTGCTTCCAGAATCTGTGCTGCTGCCAGCTGGGACCAGGCTAAGCCTGAGAGGTAGAGTTGCCATTTACCCACCCTTGATGGGTAAACTTCCGCCCTTGGCCCCAATTCCCCAGCCTCAAGAAACTGAGGAGTGGGAGAAAAATGGCCTTCATTGTGCTGCTGTAGGAATTTCCCCATGTCTTAATAGTCTATACCACAGAGATGAGGGGAAATTCCTAAAGTGTCACCCAGAAGTGCTTTCATATCCTTACCAAACTTGACCCTCCCCAGCCAGTGCCCTCAAACCTTCCCAGCATTTGCCAAGGCAGTGCTGGCAACCCTACTCAGAAGTGTTGCTGTTGTCGCAAGTCTTTGTGGGAGGCACCATTGATGGCAGTGCCTGAGGAGGCAATGGATAGATGTTGTTTGGGTGACCAAATACCTTGAACCAGCCCTGCTATGAGGGTTGCCAGCCTCCAGGTGGGGCCTAGGGATCTCACACTTTTACAACTGATCACAGCTGACAGAGATCAGCTCCCCTGGGGATAGGGCTGCTAAGTCCCCCCGGGGGACGGATAATCCCCCGCTTTGGAGGCCCGATTTCCGCCACCGCGGAATCGGGCCCCGGGGGAAACCCCACCCCGGCATGCACGTCAGCCGGATGTGACGTGATGACGCCGGGCACGCTGGGGGCGGGGCCACAGCCATTTGAGGGGAAAACTCTTATGTTCCCCTCAAATGGCTGTGGCCCCGCCCCCAGTGTGCCCGGCGTCATCACGTCACATCTGGTTGACGTGCATGCGGTGTGCGTGCGCGCTCAGGACGCCGATCGGGAGCCCCCCGCCGCAAGGTAAAACAGACTTGGCAACCCTACCTGGGGGAAATTGCTGCTTTGAAAGGTGGACTCCATGGCACTGTACCATACTGAGGCCCCTCCCCTCCCTTCCCCAAACCCTGCCCTCTCCTGGATCCACCCCCAAATTCTCCAGGTATTTTCCAGCCCAGACCTGGCAACCGTACTTGCTATGGTAAATGATTTAAATCCAAATCCTAGGTATATTTTCCTGATTGGAGTACTGCAAGCCACACACACAGTCATTCTCTCTTTTGAACAACATTCGACATAGAGGAGTCACCTCAGGGTCTGGTAACCTTAAAAGCATTACAATACTACATTGTTTATTAGGGGCCTCATCTTTTTGATTGTGTTGATTTACACTGTATAATCTGCCTTGAGCCTCAGTGAGAAAAGACGCGCTATAAAAACATAAATAAACAAATCTGCACATTTTACTATTGTATTTGAACAATCATTAACCTTTCTTTACTTCTCTTAAGCATAATAAAGAAAATTGCTCAGTATATTGGAGAAGTTTTGGAAGATGCAAAAGATAAAGTACAGGAAAATTTGCTGGCAAGTGGAGGTAGGCGCTATAAAACCATTGAAATGTTGTGCTTGCTTGCTTATTTATTTATTTATTAGCATCCGGATTCCAGTGAAAATGGATGGGATTAATTATGCCCAAATGTTTAAGAACTGTTGCTGTTATTGCTCTGGAAATAGCTTCTATTGGCAGTTTCTTTCCCACTGGAATCAGGGCACATTCTTCATTCTTTATCCAGGATGTAGGTAAAGAGGATGCAGTTTAATTTGTTCTTTGTTTCAGAACACTGTTTTATCATGCATCCATATGTTTTATTCATGGCTCCCTGGCCCTATTCTTTAGTTTTTATACATCGTATAAAAAGTACACATTATATTTCATTTTATTTGCACTGCTTATTTCACACCTGGCAATTGGCAGCTTTTGCATACAGAAAGGGAAGTCAAACTGTGGGTTAAGTAACCAATTAAGATATGCCACACAGAGCCACTGCAATCAGTGGAAGTATGCAAAGCTTATAATGGGATATAGATTGCATCCCATGTTTAGGTTTGGGTATGGGAGCTGTTGGCTTGTATCTCTTATTTCCAGTTAGTTGGGTTTTTTTAAGCAAGTAAAAAAATGGAAATGGGACCTGATCCAGCAGAATGTGTGAGGTGCAGCCAGAACAAGAAGTTCATAGAGCATTTAAAAAAAAACTAAAATCCTGTATAGCTGTTTAGTGGGGAAAGCACAGTGGGACGAGATGCAGTATCCAGAACCCCCCCTCCTATGCAATAGGATTTCAGCTTTTTAAAAGGATGCGGCTATTGGATTAAGGAGAGGAACTGGACACATGGAAAGTGCTTGCGTGTATGGTTTTTTTCATCTGGCAATGAATGTGCACATTGGAAGGCTGCTTCCCCATGCATATAGTCCCCTAACCAGATCAAGAGACTCCTTCCTTTGAAAAACAGCAAATGGTTTTTTAGCATAAATGCTGCTGTGTACTTATTTGTCAGGAGCCTGACCCACAAGTGTAACTCACCTGGCATTAGTAGCATAAATGAGCCAGTGACTATGAGAACACATCGTTGAGGTTCAGAATTTGGAAAACTAAACAATACTAACAGCAGAGTGGAACTGGCCAAACAGTTCTTTGAAGCAGAATTACAGAACTGGAGTTAAGGTTCCACACAGTGTTTTGCTTTACTTTATTATACTTAATATACAAATACCATATTGTTATTGTTAGTGGCCTATGAGCTTTCAGAAGGTAGTGTCCTTCACTATGGTAATTTTGTACACAATTCCAAGCCAATCAGAAGTCTAGGGTAGGAGCTGCTTGGAGCCTGTCAAATTTCCAAGGGAACAGATGGATTTCTCTGTGCTTTCTCCAGAGGACATGGATTCCAGCCCTGCCCCTGTGTTGGCTGGTTCCCTCACCACTCCAGTGCTCTAACAGGGACAAAACTACTTTTTAATTATTTCTTGAAATGCCACACGTGTTTATGGGCTAAACTAAGGAACAAAATTCTTTGACATAAATCCCTTAAAGGTAACAACAATTATACTTAAGCCAAATATCTTAATAATCACTTACTGTGTTTCAGGAACGAAGAATAAAATGAAATTTCTAAAGAGTATGTGGAGCATGGGTGACTTGTGTTTTGCAAGCATGCTTTGATGTGTTTAATGATAGTTCTGAGTCTACATCTGGTTGTAGGGGTACAGTGATCAGGTTACGACGGATTTCTGTAACAACCACCTCGTAGCTCGATCACCATCTCCCTGTGACCCAGATAACGGCCGGTTTGATGTTGTTTGTTATCTCTTTCCCCTCCCCCAGGTTTTTCAGCTTCTCTTTTAACCACTCTGCTGCATGCATAACCAAAGGACATGGGGACTACTGGATAGTGTTAAAGCTCCTTATATGCATCTGTGTGTTTCCTCATGTGATCAACTGTTACGAATTTACATTACATGATTTTTAAAAATTTGGTCTTAACAAAATAAATTTAGTTGATAGATCAATCACTTGGTTGCTGGCCCTCACAAACTAGATGTGATAAATGTACAGTTGCCACCAAAAACAGCATCTGTATGACTAGTTCCCACCCACCCCCCATCTAGAAGCTGCTTCCTGTTGTGATGTTTATGTAACACATCTCATGTTTCTCTGCTCCCATTATCATTGGTTTATGGCAGGAGGTTGGAGAAATGTGGAGCACTGTGGCATTTTCTCATGAGGCAAGCCATACTGGATGTTAAAGGGGGAAGGGAAGAACTTAAAGGGCAGCTGATATTTATTGCCACGTGAAGTTTGGGGCTATAAAGTCTGCATAGGAACTGACAAGGCTCATTCATATATATATATATTTAGTGTAAACCATCACCATTATCATTAGTAGGACTTCTGTCACTGACTTCAGCAGAATATACCTATTCTCTCCAATGTCAAGGCCCAGCACACTCTAATGAGCATATGAAGCTCTTCTACAGGTAAACTGTCTCATTCATTTCAGTGGAGGCAGCAGCTCTATGCATGAAGAGGAATGTGTATATAGAAAACACACTCTCTCTGTCTCTAGTACATTTTTATTTTACCTTTTGTCCAAGGAGATCAGGGGACCACACAAACTCAATCTTTCCCCATTTTATCCTCATACCAACCCTCTGAGGTAGATTAGGCTGAGAGACTATGATCTACCAAGGTCACTCAGTGAGCTTCAAGGAGGATTTGGGACTGGAAATTGGATCTCTCAGCTCCTAGAGCAGCACTCTAACAACTACACAGCACAGGCCTTCTGTGGAAATCAGTGGGTATGGAAACTCCATATGTAAATTGGAACCACCCAGTACCAATTATGGGAGTAAGGTGGTTGTGAAAGTCCAAGGAAATTATTATGTATTATGTAAAAAAAATTTGGTATGGCTTAACCTCTTATAAAAACAAGAGGCTCCATCACATTTTACCTTATTAGCTTTGATAACTAATCAGATCAATCTGATTTTAGCAGCTATTAAAATAAGCCAGATCTCTCACAAAAAATACTTCCTATAGAGAATTTCTTCATAGGGTTTGGAAATACGTAGAAGACAGTAATATTTGTCTAGTAATTAGGTGAAGCCAGCAGTTGACAAGACATTGTGGAAGATTTTAACAAATACCTAATATCAGATCATAAGTAACTCTGGTTTAATGGCCTTCTAAAACCATGGTCTATCATAGTGCACAATTTTTCCTTGTCTTGTTCATTTACCATGCAATCCTATGCAAGTATTCCAATGTAAACCCTTTGAAATCAATGGGCTTAGACTGGAGTAACTCTGCATAGGATTGCATTGTTAGTATTTAGGCATGATTTTCTTTGTAAGAGCTTGAGCTTACCAAATAATCAGCTTAGTTCAAAATAAAAAATAAATACAGGATTTGCCATGAAAATCAATGTACCAAATTTGGCTATAGTGGCCTCAGATACCACCTAGCTATAACTTCTGACTGGACAATGGGATTCTGGTCCATAAACTTCCAGCCCTCTCATACTGTGAGAGACATGTTTAATTAGGGATGCCAGCCTCCAGGTGGGAACTGGGGAGCCTCTGGAATTCCAGCTTATCTCCAGGCTACAGAGATCAGTTCCCCTGGAGAAAATGGAAGCTTTGGAGGGTAGACTAAATGGCATTGTACCCTAATTGAGGTCCCTGTCCTCCCCAAGCTCCATCCCCAATCTGTAGGAGTTTCCCAACCTGAATCTGGCAACACTATGCCCCCCCTCATCCCCCATTGGTGGCTGGGGGGGGGACACCTGGCCACCCTATGTTTAATTTATCCATATCCTACCCAGAATGCTACATAAGGGCATGCAAAGTAGCCTTGTGCCTCTCAGGGTGCTTTTAAGTGTACATTCAAACAGAGGTACTGTGGTGTAGCATCCTGCAGGATAAGTCTGATTTCTTTCTGCCTTCACAGGGCTGCTGAAAGACATACTTAAATAACTGCACTTGTAATTTTGTTGTCGGTACTGCCCTGCAAGGAGCTGCGGTAGCTCAAGTGGTTAAGAAGCTGAACTGCAGGCTGTGGAAGGTCGGTAGTTCAGCAGTTCGAGACCCGAGTGTGCCGCATGACGGAGTGAGCTCCCGTCTCTAGTTCCAGCTCCTGCCAACCTACCCATTCGAAAGCAAGAAATTGCAAGTAGATAAATAGGTACCACTTCAGTGGGAAGGTAACAGCGTTCCGTGCACCTTGGTGTTTAGTCATGCCGGCCACATGACCACGGAAATGTCTTCGGACAGCGCTGGCTCTTTGGCTTGGAAACGGAGATGAGCACCGCAACCCTAGAGTCGGACTCGACTGGCTTTCTAGCAAGGGGACATTTACCTTTACCTTTTTACTGCCCTGCAAACCCCTCCCCCCTTCAGGCATGCTATTTTTTAATATGCTGTTTGAACATTCAGGTGGTCAAAAGTTGATTTATTACCACATATCTCTTTAAAAAAATAGAGAAATAAAAAAAAATACCCCATGGGTGAAATTTGTAATTACACAGGCACCAACCAATCACTGTTGTACACAGACAGCTTGATCTTGAAGATTTGGTACATCTGAAAGACCATGGCAAATGCAGTCCCATATCACAGCTACTCCTCTCTTTGTGTATGTTTCAATATGAAGTCTAGTTACATATTTTATGAGACAGATAGCAAGTTGGGGTCCTTTGGCTCCAGGGTTCTTTGTTCCTTGTTCATTCTATGCCTGTTAAGACTTTCCACACCCAGGAAATCCAGGACTGTAAAATGACTCTTGCTGGAACTTCAGAAACTCGAGGGAAAGACATTCAGGTACCAAAAAGGGACCAAGTTTCATGCGATGAATGGAGAGGCTGCTGAAACTCCATGCTCCATCTGTAAGAAAGGGACAGCATTTTCACAAATGCAAGACCCATACACCTCATTTTTAATGAAGAAAAAAGGTCAAGGGGCAGCCTCTTACAGGCTTAGCAGTAGGGGTGTGCAAAAAAAATAATAATTCAGCGGATTTGGCGGAATCGGACAGAATCAGTTTCGGAAGACTCCTGCATGTCAGTTTTGTCAGCCGAATGTCAATTTCAGCCCCATTATATCCTATGGGCCATTGAAGTCAATGGCGAAAACATAGGGTATATTCTGGGGCCTGGAGGGAAAGGGGTTTGAGGGAGACGCTCCAAACTCACAAGGTAGCTGCTGGAGCCTCTCCGCAAGATACCCACCAAGATTCAAGAACATTGGACCAGGGGGTCCAATTCTACTGGCCACAGTGCCACAAGCATGCCACAGTGCCACACAGAAACTCCAAAAGACCAACAGGAACAACATTTATACTGGTCCTGCCCTTTGTAAATTGATGGTGGAACCAGAAGTCCAGGGAGGTAACAGGTCAGGCCAGGATAGAGTTGGGTACAGTTGACTCTCTCTCCCTCCTCCCAAGCAAGGAAGGTGGTGTGCAAAGCAACACCACCAACCTTGCAGGCAGCACATGCATGCAGCAATTGGCTGAAACTGGCCTCCCCCTCCCCCCGTTGGTCTTTTGGGGTTTCTGTGTGGCACTGTGGCATGCTTTCACTGCCACAGTGCCACTTGTTCTGGTGTGTGCCACTTGTTCTCATGGCAAACAAGCACCTCCCAAGACAGTTCACTTTCCCTGAGATTCTCTGGGAGAGTCTGACTGCTGGGTGCTGCCTGCTATCCTGCCTTAAGTGCTGCTGGCTGGGTTTCCCCATTGGAAATAATGGAGGTAATGTGGGTGACCTGTTTGGGTGCCCATAGAATTGGGACCACTGGTCCAATTGCTTTGAGACTTGGGGGTTTATGTGGGGAGAGGCCCCAGAAGCTACCCTGAAAATATGGAGCCTCTCCCTCAAACCCCCTCCCTCCCAGAGCCACTAACAGCACCATGGGAAAAAAGTAATTCCTGTTCCCACCATAGAGAACAATGGAGGGGATGGGGGCAACCTGTTTGGGGGCCCGTAGAATTGGACCCCCTGGTCCAATATTCTTGAATCTTGGTGGGTATCTTGGGGAGAGGCTTCAGCAGCTACCCTGCGAGCTTGGACCCTCTCCCTCAAACCCCCTCTCTTCCAGCCCCCAGGATATACCCTATGTTTTCACCATTGACTTCAATGGCCCATAGGATATAATGGGGCTCGGCAATTCGGCGGCAAATCAATTCAGATTAGAGAATCTGAATCTGCCCGCAGCAGCCCGAAAGGGGCCCAAATGGGCCATTTTCAGGGGTGCATTCGGTTCGGACGAACCGAATGCACGTCCCTGCTTAGTAGCTATACTAACCCTTAATGACTTACCTAGGAATTGCCTTTCTTTTTTTACACACATATATAACCGCATCATTGGACACTGCATGGCTACTTTACATTTAGCTTTTATTAAAATTATTTTTAAAAATTAAATAAACCCAACCATATGACTGATAGTTGTGTAAGGAAGTATGCAAAAATAAATGCAAGGGTCTGGAAATTTTTGAAAGAAAGGTCATTTGTAATTTCTGTACAAAATATCTGAAGCAGTATTATTAAGGGTTTAAACAACACATCTTTTTGAAGATAGTTTATCAAGCCACAGCCATTTTTTCTTATGAAGAATCTGGTAACCTCACTGGTAGTTTTCATCTCAAGTAGCTTTTCCACCAGTACGTTTGCCAACAGTGCTGCTGTGAGCCGCCACAGGCTCTCCAAATATGACCTCTGGGTTGTCCTCTAATCCAAACCAAATAACACATGAAACAGATCTCATGATTTGTCCTGTTCCGTGAACCCCTCAGACTGGTCAGGACACCTGGCACTGTGTCTCTCTAGTTCCCCTCTTGGTGACTTTGGCACAGTTTTGCTTAATTTGTACCAAAAATCCATCATGTGGACATATTCCATAAATGAGTGGTACAATTTATTAATTGGATTTGATTGAATTAGTAATGATTTTCTTCTTTTAAAAGGAACAAAAGTAGCTGACATAAGCTATAGTATACAAAAAAACTCACTAAAAACTGTAATCCATAAAATGAGAAAATGGAAGAATTGTACAAAATAAAAGTAGCCTTGAAAGTACAGCTGGCAAAAATGAAAATGTTACCCTCTTCTGAGATACCTGCAGTGTTGGGCTTAGGCAGGCATCTTTGGGGAGAGGGTCTCAGTACTGAGGTAATGCAACCAAAAGGGTCTTGTGCTTAGAAGACCTTGCAGTTTTGTAGCTCAGTAGACTATCCCCAAAGGATCCTGTTCAGAAAGCGTACTGAGTAAGAAACTCATCAGATATGCTGGGCCTAACAGAACAGAATGTTTCTGTTTACTGATTTGGTCTACCGTCAAATGTTTCCTTCATTAATAATTCCATTAAATGTTGAATTTGGTTTGTAATATATTTTTTTTCTGAGAATAAGCTTAGCCCCAGATATGGCTCATTTTCTTTAATGAGAGGCCCAAATACAGATTTACAATAACATCAGTGGCAAAACTCCTTTGTATTTGTATTAATCATGACTGAAGCCTTAGGTAAGGATTAGATACTCAGTACCTTTGGATTTGCTGTTCAGGTTGAAGCCAACATTGATTTCAGTGTCAAGGCAACTGTCTTGAGCTGTATCTGCTGTGAGATACTGAGAGATGGATCCTGTGTGATGGTTTACACATATGGAGTGTGGCTTTTAAGAGGATTTGTGTGGATTAATTCACAGTTTTGTCTGAATGGATCATCTATACAACTTGCTCAAATAATCAGATGAGCTGAAACTGGATTCAGACAATCCCGTTCATGGGTGTCTTTTTCCAATGGAAAATGTGTTCATGTTCCCTGCATGGGACTTATTCCAAAAGCCAGAAATTGGATGCAAGTTATGTTGAAGTGGACCTTGACTGCAGAATCATACTAACTAAAACTGTTACTATTTACCAAAATGCTTCTTTTATTGATTTATTCATATATTTTCAGTTGACCTAATTAGTTATCTCACAAGGTTTGAGTGGGACATGGCTAAGTATCCCATAAAACAGCCACTGAAGAATATTTCAGAATCATTAGCAAAGGTAATATCATCTTTCTTTCTTGTGGAAAAATATGTTCTCAAGGTTAATAATGAGACATGATACTGCTCTTAAAGTCATTGAGAGTTTTCTGGATTAGTGGAAGGAAATCCAAGCACGATGTATGTATCCAGAGGTTTTGAATTTCCTTTTAAAGCAAGCTAACATCCTACAGCACAAAAGGCAGTAGCCGTAAAGCAATGACCTATTTCACACTGGTAAATGCAGAGGGGGAAAAACTCACCTCCTTTTCCCTCCATATACTCTTCCCACAGGCAGGGAATGATATTATATTTGAACTTAACACCTCTCAGATCAAATCATAGCTCAGTGTCTGTCCTTGTTGTGCAAATGATGGTTTCTCTGTCTCTATTCCCTCACCTGTAAAACTGAGAAAATAATGGCCTACTTCATTTAGTTGTGGAGATGGCTGTTTGTAACATGCTTACAAAGTTTTTGTATATATGAGCCGGTTGCTAATAAGATCTCTTTTTCGAAATGGTGGTTCTGTTCATTCACTGTCTCTCTCTCTCTCTGCCTGTCTCTCCTACCAACATCTGCCTTCAGATCCCTGGGTTGTTAGAGATGACCATTTTACCACACATATGCTCCTGATATGTGGTATAATTCATCTTACTGCTTGTTGAGCTGATGCTGATAGGCTACGAAAGGGTGAGAAAGCCCACTGCAATATAGTGTGTTAAGGCAGTGGTACTCTCTCCATGGCTCATGAAGAGCCATATCTGCAATTACCATCAACCAAAGAGCCACATTTACTTCCATTCCGGACATGTGGCCTGCACCTCAGGGAGATTATAGGAGAGCTATGATAAGATTTTATCAGTATTTCGTAAAGGCAATAGCATCTCAATGGGGCTCCCATTCAGACTGGTGTTGGGGGGGGAGGTGAGCCTAAAGTGGATCTCTACCAGTGTTCTTACACAGATGTACTGAAAAATAAACTCAAGTGAAAACAAGGATGGGATCTCAGGTGTTTCTCTTTATAAAACATAGCAGTCATCTGTGACCCTGTAGCATTTCAAGAAAAGCATGTTTAACCAAACCTGTGTCTAATTCTGGTATCTTAGCAGTAAAATCTACATTCATTAAAGTTTTTTTGTATTTGTGGTACTATATAAAACTTGTAGATAAGTAAACATATAGACTCTATACTTCTGAGCTGGATTTTGTCCTTTTTATATTTAGCAAATTACACAAATAGAAACAGACTTGAAATCCCGAGCAGCTGTGTACAACAACATCAAGGGAAACCTCCAGAATCTGGAAAGAAAAACGGCGTAAGTATACATATGTGCCACCATACTGCATGATGACAGTGGATACAGCTGCAAGAATATGGCTTTATAAATGAACTAGTAAGCAAAGCCCGTCGTGGCGGTAGACGACGGGACCTAGATAGGAAGGAAGGGCGAGTGGAAGGGAGGAATGGAGAAGAGGAGTTAGAGAGAGAGAGAGACAGAGTTAGAGGGGGGGAAGAGAGAAAAGGGGGGAGACAGAATGGGGTTAATGGTAGTAATTTTGAAAGAAAGGAAGGAAGAAAGCTAGGAAGGAAGGAAGGAAGGAAGGAAGGAAGGAAGGAAGGAAGGAAGGAAGGAAGATGGGTACAAAGACAGAGATTGAAAGAGAGTGAATGGGACGAAGGATTTATTTTATTTATTTATTTTATTTATTTAAGTATTTTTACCCCGCCCTCCCCGCAAGCGGGCTCAGGGCGGCTTACAAGGGGCATAGCCCAAACATAAAACCACATAAAATCCAGTAAAATCCAAAAAACATTACAATCAACAATAACAATAAAGTGCTTCTTAAGTTGTTAAAAAATGATGGCATCCTTGTCCGAGAATTAGTCCGAGCCCATCCGCTGTATTCATTGCAGCATTCTAGTAGCACTACGCTCAAGGACACTCCCAACTTCGGTGTTCTTACCACCATTGATGGTAATGGTGGCAGCGGCAGCGGCGGCCCCTACGTGAAAGCCTGGCGGAAGAGCTCCGTCTTGCAGGCCCTGCGGAACTGCACCAGGTCCCGCAGGGCCCTGATCTCCTCCGGGAGCTCATTCCACCAGGCAGGGGCTGCCACTGAGAAGGATCTAGTCCTTGTTGCAGCGTATTTTACGTCTCGGGGGCCCGGAACCACTAACTGGTTCTGGGTCCCCGACCGAAGTGCCCTTGGGGGTATATATGGGGAAAGGCGGTCCCTCAGGTAGGTCGGACCCAGGCCATATAGGGCTTTAAAGGTAAGCACCAGCACTTTGAAGCGGACTCGGTACGCTATAGGCAGCCAGTGCAGCGCCTTCAACCCAGGCTTGATGTGCTCCCACCTGGGGAGGTCCATCAGCAGCCTAGCTGCTGCATTCTGCACTAGCTGCAGCTTCCGGGTCAGCGACAAAGGCAGCCCCATGTAGAGAGCGTTACAGTGATCTAGCCTTGAGGTGACCGTCGCATGGATCACTGTAGCCAGGTCTTCGCGGTCGAGGAAGGGAGCCAACTGCCGA